TCCTCTGCAGGCTTTGGCTGTTTAGCCTTTAAGAGCTGGTATTAAATTGATGTAGCCCAGCTCTGTTTTTTTCCATTCAGCTCAGCTTTTGTTTGCCATCAGAGATAATTAACCTAGGGTAATGATTACTTAGGTGTTTTCTTCCTGCCAGCAGGAAAGGGGGAAAATAGTGCTTATTAGCAGCTCTCCCAGATCTGTCCTCCTCTCTCTCTTTTTTTAAAAATCCTCACCCAAGGATATGGTTTCATTGACTTTAGAAAAAGAGGAAGGGAGAGGGAAAGAGAAAGAAACATGAATGTGAGAGAGGAAACATGGATCAATTGCTTCCCGTATGCTCCCCGACTGGGGATTGACCAGGGATCGAACCTGCAACCTGGGTGTGCTCTGACAGGGAGTCAAACCTGTGACCCTTCGGTGCAAGGGATGACACTCCAACAAACTGAGCCACGCCAGCCAGGGCTGTCCACCTCTTCTAAGGTTGGGTGGGCCCCCCGCATGGGCAGGAAGGCGGGCAATCGTCCAGTCCCAACCATGGACAGCACTTGGGTAAAGGGCTAATGACCAGTGTGCATATCCCAGGGTCTCTCCCCAAACCCTGCCAGGGAACAGCCATGGTGGCACTTGGCCCTGCCCTCAGTGAGCTGACCGTCTCAGGGAAGTCTCTCCTCTCTTTGGGCATCAGGTCACCCTTCAGCTCACTTAGGCCCCTTCTTCTTACTTGGACAGTCTGTTCATACTATAGAATTAAGTGGGGATCCCAGTAATAAAAATCACCAACATTTGTTAAAGGCTTTGATATCTCTGGCACTATGCTTAGTATTTAATATATATTATCCCATTTAGTTCTCATAATAAGATTAAATATTACTATTATCTCCATTTTTTTTTAGGTGAAGAAACAGAGGCAAAGAGAGATTAAGTAGCCTGTCATAGCTAGTAAGGGGCAACCATGCATGTAATCAACACAGCATACTGTTTCACTAAGTATCATGGAGAGATCAAAAAGAAACGGAAATTGCCCGGCCAGTGTGGTTCAGTGGTTGGGTGTCGACTCATGAATCAAGGGGTCACTAGTTCGATTCCCAGTCAGGGCATATGCCTGGGTTCTGAGCTCAATCCCAGTAGGGGGCGTGCAGGAGGCAGCCAATCTACATTTCTCTCTCATTGATGTTTCTATCTCTCCATCCCTCTCCCTTCCTCTCTCCCTAAAAATCAATAAAACCATTTTTTTTTTTTAAAAAAAAGAAACAGATTAACCGAAGAAGTTATATGCATATAGGCATAACCCATGGCCACAGGCAATAGTGTGGTGAAGGCCTGGGGCGGAGGGTGAAGGGGATCAATGGGGAAAAAAAGGGGAACATCTGTAATACTTTCGACAATAAAGATAAATTTTAAAAAAAGAAACTGAGGCACAGAGATAGATAGGAGTCCTCTCAGTCACACAGCCAGAACCCTCTACTGGCCTCTTTCTAGAGCTGCGAGCAACAACTGCTCCAAACCGGTCTAGCCAGAGCAAAGGGATGGCTCTCCTTGCAGGGTCCTGGCCCTTTAAAGCACCCTGACCTGGATCTGCACACCCCAGACTTGAAGAGAAAGGGGGAGGAGGAGGAGTGGAGGAGCCCCAAGCAAAGATGCTTGTGCTGGTGGCTCTGGAAAGGTCCTGACCAGCCCACCTTGGCCCAGCTCAGCAGACCACAGGCAGCATATGGCCAGTTGATACGTTTCATCTGAGCTTCGGAGTATTTATTTTTTGTTAACACTTAAAATTCAGGACGTACAATGTCTCTTAAAACATCAGAAGCTATGGAAACACTGGATCCGGTTCCGCCCGGCAGAAGCTCTCATTCACTAAAGTCCCCACCCTCATTTACGAGGTTTGCCTGGAGTCTGAGAGTCCTGCTCTGGACACAATGCTGTTCATTTGAGGCACGTCCTAGCTTATTCATGTCCATTGCATCAGCTCTCTGGCTCTCCTTGCCCCTTAAGGTAAGAACCTCAAACCCTTTTCTTTAAGCCCCACATCCCCATAACAGTGGCCTCAAGGCCCTGAGACAATTTGGCTCTTGGCTGGAACAATTACCCAAGGAGCATTTAGTTCAATCACCTATTTTATAGGAGAAGCTGAGCCCTAGAGAGGGAAAGGTTTTGTCCACACTCACAGATCAGGAAAAGTTCTCGTGGAGTCTGTTTTATTGCATTCTAAATCACAGAATGTTAGCAGTAGGGAATTCAATTCCATTCACTGCGAAAGGTGTTAATTGATGGCTCAGTGTTACCTAGTGGCCAGGACTATCATGCCTTGACTTGAACACATTCTAGTTCCGCAGCTACTTGGTGGAGTGGGAGGATAGACTTGGTGGCTTTAGAGCCGGGCTCGGCCACTCCCTGTGTCACTTTCTGCAGTTACTTCATTACTCTGAGCCTCGGCTTCTGTTTTGTATGAGAATTCTTTCCAGCCAGAGCACTAGATTAACCAGTAAGTGGATTATCTGGGCTCTGATTTCAATGCCAAGAACCTCAAACCCTTTTCCTTTTGCAAGCAGTCACTGACTGGCTAACAGCGGCTGTCCTGCATACAGAACTCCAGGCATGTGTTTTGTCAACTGCGTGATCTCCCCTCAGCTGCTTATGGAGAGACTGTCTACCCTTTGACAGAGGTGTGACTTTAGGCAAGTGACTCAACCTCTCTGAGCCTCAGTTTCTTCATGGGGGTTGTAAGGATTTAGTGAGATATTAGGTAAAGGACATAGCACAGTGCCTGGCACATGGTATGTGTTCAATAAACTTTAGCAATATCTTCGTCTAAACTCAAGCACCCATTCCAGAAATTAATCTAAAATGAAAGCCACATTACTGTTACCACACCTACTTTCTTGATAACTCTTTTTTATTGTTGCTAATTCTCACCAGAGGATATTTTTCCCATTGATTTTTTTTTTTTAAACAGTGGAAGGGAGGGAGAGATGGAGGGAAGGGGGGGAGAGAGAGAGAGACATCAATGTGAAAGAGACACATCGATTGGTTGCCTCCTGCATGTGCCCCAACCAGGGCTGGGGATCGAATGTGCAACCCAGGTACATGCCCTGGACTGGGAATCAAACCCGAGACCCATCCGAGCGCTGGCTAATGCTCTAACCACTGACAACACCAGTCAGAGCTCTTGGCAACTTTCTATACAAGGGACAAGCTAACACTTACCAATGGGTCTCATGACTACTCTCCCATACTATCTTCACAGCTGCCCCATAAAAAGATCAGGTCAAAGATGGTTTCCCCGTCTTGCAGGTGGTAGGTCAAGTGAAGCACTGATGGTCAGATATGAAGACATACAGAGTTGGGCTAGAACCTGGATCTTCTGCCTCCCAACCAATGTTTGCCCCCTACTCCCTGCTGACTACTTAAGGACATGATCAGCTGATTCAAATATCCTAGGCTCTTGGGGACATCATTATGAATGCCAATGCTTGCCATGCAGGAGGCAAGTTCAAAAGTGCTGATAATGTCATCTTTTTGGTTGCACAAGACTACTTCTGTAAGTGTTTTGAGAGAAGATGAAGAAAACCAAAATTTTTAAGATTTGGGCTGTAGTACTATTATCCCATCGAGACACTAAAGTCTGAACAACTTTTCTGGAAGGCACTTGGGAAATAAATATTAAGTGCCTTCAAAATGTGGTTTTGGTTCATTATCATCCCAATTCACTCTGGAAAGCTCTCTTAAGAACAATCAGGTGAAAATGAAAAGATTTACGTCACGTTTATGATATCAAAATTTAGAAACAACCTATATTCACAGTCCTAGGGGATTTGGGTTAAATAAACGGTCATTTAGCCAGACAATGGGTACTGTGTGCCATTAAAAATGAAGATGTAGCTTGACAGATTTTAGGACGGAAATACTGTTTCTAGTATATTGTTGCCGGGGCAGTGGGGGAGGACATAAGCACGTGTTTCCATGTGCCATTCCTGCCCCAAGCAATGTGCCAAACTGCCATCAGAGCCGGGTGCTGAGGCTCTTAGAGGGCTGCTCTGCCCACACTACCAACCATGGCAAGGGCTGCACTGCACCAAGGGCGTATGTCCACCTGGGGCCCACAATCCCCCCCTTTGTGGGCTACCTTCTAGGTACCTGGGCCCATCAGAATTCCCTGCCTGGACAGTCCCGAGTGCAATTCTAGGGACTGTGCTAGCATCTCTCTAGGTCAGTCCCCCTAAGGTGTGTGTGCATCTCTAGGCCCAAGTGGTAGCTGTTTAAAAGGGGGTGGTTTCCAAGCGGGGGCTGTTTGCAGGGAAATGTAAATGGAGCTTAAACTTGAGGGCCCGAATGCCCCACAGGCGTATGAGGTCTTCTGAGGGGTTCTCTGTGCCCTTGTCCGGGGCCCCACAGTGTTAGGGAGGGGCCCGTGAAGCACTAACCCATGCACTCGGCGGTGGATTAGCAGTGTCTGACACAGCGGGGCGTCAGTGTGGATCGGCGCTTTTAAATTGTACAGCTCACATTTCAGGTCAGCCCTCCCTGCCCAGTAAGATGCAGCACATTCCTCCACCCCCTGTCCAGCACCCACGTTCCACTGGGACTTCTGCAGGGGGAGACTGCTCACCACCTTCCAAGGGAGTCCCCTTGCAGGTCTGAACAGCTTTGCCAATTAGAACCTTCTTCGCTGTGCACACCCCAAGACCACCTCCCAGGCACTTCTACCCTTTGGATTGAATTTTGGACGGTGACTTGCCCAAGGCCACACAGCTACTCAGTGGTGAAGCCTGAGTAGGGCCCCCAGCCCTGTCCTTACCTCTCAAGAGCACCCTGAGTTGATGCCCAGAGGTGCCCCAGGGCCAGTGAGGCTGACAGGGAGGCTGAGGGTTAAGTCGTCTCGTCCCTCCAGCATCTCTCCGTCCAGCCCCCACCCCCATCATCTTGCTACAGCCCAGCCCACCATCACATTAGAGCTCTACCTTCAAGGTCCCTGTCCTCTAAAACAGAGAAAAAACACAACAACGTTTTGGAGTCCAAAACAAAACACCAAGGATAATGTTAATAAATACATAAAAATTTAAAGATCTGGATCTCAAAGGCAGAGATTACAGCCCTTAACGCAGGCAGGCTGGGTCACAGGAATGATTCAGTGTGTGCCCAGCATCCAGGGAGGGGCAGGCAGAGGGGGACAGGGCTCTCTTCTCCAGGCACCTACAGGCCGGCCCACTGCTCCTATGCCTCTAGCCTGGCTCGGAACAGCTCTCCCAGGGGTGGGGGTGGGGGGGTGGAGAACTAGCAAGCACCTCAGCACCTGCTGGGGTCTGGGAGACTCTCCACACGACTCAGAGTCAGGAGCCCTGGGGGGGATCTTGAGGACTAGGGTGGCTTCCAGAGAGCCAAGGAGTCTAGGGAAGTTACCTGCCCTTGGAGGTAAGGGGGGGCAGGGCAGATGAAGCACCACAACACTGTGGGTCAGTGTCTACTCTCCACCCCAGCATGGGACAAAGGCTCATAGCCTGCCCTGGGTGGCCCCTGTCATCTCCAGGGCCCGGCTATGAGTGGACTCTGGTCCTCAGCTCTGAGGCCTGACCCTCCGCCCCCCTAATCAGCACCACAAACCTCTAGAGCCAGCAGGAGTGGTCTCTGGCAAAAGTCAGTGACTGATGGGGCACAGCCTGAGAATTCACGTCTCCCTCTGTGTCCTACAAGTCCCCTTCCAGGTTGTCTCCCTTCATGCCCTGGAGTGATGACATAGTTGCCATTTCTGGTCTAGCCAGGGCTCTAGCACCAGTTGGGAGACCCCTGGATAAAGAAGACACTTTCTAGAGTCTTCGGAGCCCCCTTCTTGGGTGAGCTGGAGTGAGGCTGGGAGGCCTACCTGTAGACTAGAGGCCCCAGAAGTAACAGAAAGTGCTGTCTGCTGGGGCAGAGGTGATGGCCAACACTGCCCTCCAGCCAGCAAAGGCAAGCTGGACTCTGCTCCTTGGCCTTGGCTGGAAGAGCCCCATGGAGCTCTTGCTACGAAAAGCTGGGCCTGAGATGAACATGCCTCCCACCTGCCCCAGCCCTGCAGCTGGACCACACTCACTCCCAGCTCCCTCCCTCTCTCTGATGACTGTCCTGGGGGCACCCCCTCACCTTCCCTGGCCCTGCTTTGCCTCTCTGGGCCTGCACAGGGGTCCCACAAGTTCTGGTGAAGGCAGGCAGCCAGACGGATCCAGTGTGGGACGCAGTGGCTGTGAGGACAGGGCATTAGCTGGCCCTCAAGCCTGGCCAGGGAGGCAGACAGGAGCCCCTGAGAAGTTCAACTCGGTCACTGGGCCGCTTGCTGAGGTATCTCAGGTTAGGGTTTTCCCTGATTTTTTTCTTCCTCACACACCCACTTCACGGGTGAAAAGTATCACAGCCCAAAACAAGAACAAGAGGGCAAATAATTTAAAAGGAAGTCTGAGCTTGCCCCTGGCCCACTGCGCATCCTCTGAGCCAGGGGCTCGGGCCCACATTGTGGAAACGACTGGTGGGACGGGCAAGACGGTGCTCATGTCACTGGGGAGGTGGCGGGAAGGCTGGTGCCTGGATGCTTCAGGTCTTCCCTGAGTTGCCCTTTATCCTCAGAGGCTGGCAGGGGTGGGACAGTGGGCCAGCCCCAAGGCACCCACTGGGTGGCGCTAGGGGAAGTACCCCGGGATGCTCCAGGGCTCAGTTTCTGGGGAGCAAAACCAGGGCTTTGGGTCACTGGGGGGCTTGTTCCCAGAGGTTCTGGGAGCTGGGTGGATTGGCCATGCGGATGGTCATCTGAACCCGTTGGCCCCACAGTGGGCCCCACAGCATCTGGAGGGGCCTTGGATCCTGGTGAGGGGCTCCCGGGGGTGGAGAAGGGTGGTGGTGTCAGGCCGGGATCCAGACTGGCGTCAGGGCCCGGAGCCTTCTGGGTACAGGACTCACAGCACAGCCGGTGGTAGCCGGGGATGGAGCAGTAGCGGTCGTGCATTTCCATCTGGCAGATGATGGACCTGTCCCCCACGCAGGGCTCTGCTGTGCACACAGCACAAGGACGATGACGGGAGGACATCCATCAGCCAGGTGACAGACAGCAGGACACAGCCTCCCCCTCCCCCTCAGCCCACCAGCTGCAGGCCCCTCTTCTCCTGCTCTGGCTGGACTCACTATAAAGCTTTTTCCAAGATGGAGACACAGGGCTGCCTGAGAGGAGAGACAGGACTGAGGGACAGCTCTTATTATGTGGCAGAGGGACTAAACTCCCCTAGATCAGTGGTTCTCAAAGTGGGGTCCCCACACCTGCGGCATCAGCATCACCCGAAGCTTGTTGGAAATGCACTTTCTCAGGCCTCATCCAGCTCTCCCGAATCAGAAACTCTGGGGGTGGGGTCCAGCTCTGTGTTTTAACAAAACCTACAAGGTGATGCCAATACATGGGGAAGCTCTGAGAACCACAGCCCTACATCAATAATTGTCAGGCTTGGCTGCCAACTGGAATCACCTGGGGAGCTTTACAAACGGCCACTGCCTAGCTCCTACACCAGGGAGCCTGGTCAGTCTGGCTGTGGGCATTGGGTGATCGTAATCTGTAGCAGAGCTTGGGAACCCTGCTCTAGATGGGAGTGGGAACCCTAGCCTCCTCCCAAACAACCCAAAGGAGTCTGGTCCACTCCACTTAGGACCAGGCAAACGCCCAGGTAAGTCACACTTGTGACAGGCTGATCAAACATCCTACCACAGGCAGCACAGTTGGAACACTAAGCCCTCCACCAGCAAATTTGAAATCAAGTCGACCTAGGCTCCAATCAAGGCTCCACCACTTAAAACCTGTGAGGCCTTAGGCAAGTCAATTTCTCCAACCCTGTTTCTCACCTGTAAAATGGGGATGATGCTGACATTCACCCATGAGTAATAACATTATAAATAACATTTATAAAACCCCTGGCATAGAGGAGTGCTCACTATACTAGTTTGTTTGCTTTGGTTAAAATACCATCTAAAAATGTTTTCATGTTCCGCTAACAGAATGTGAAGAAGCTTTGTGGCCTCTAGATGGCGGCAGAATTCTAAAAGCAGAATTAGGGGCCCATACTTTGCTCTTGGGAAGAAAAGCGAAGGAAACCCAGGTGCTTGCACAGCCTGAGCCTCAGCACAGGAGCAGAGAAGCAGCAAAGCTAGAACCAGAAAATCCTCTGAGAACATTTAGTCAGATCCCTTTATTTTACAGATGAGGTCACTGAGTTCAGAGAGGTTCAGGGATTTGCACAAGGGCACATGGACAATTGGTCCTTGAACTAGGAGTTAGGGTCTGTGATCTTTCTGCTACCCATCTTCTCAGACCCTTATCCTTGGGAAGGTGAGGAAGGAAAAGAGAGAAGGAATCTAGGAAGGGCACATAGAGCATTGATTCTGGTACATAGCAGGTGCTTAGTCAATATTTGTTGATGGCTGGGTGGTTGGATAGATGGGTGGGTGGATGGGTGGGTGGATGGATGGGAGGAATAACTGATCATGAGGCAGAGAGAAACTACTATTTTGGTTGTTGTTAGCTGACAGCTGGACAGGAGTGCATGCATTATCTCGTTTAATTCTCTCAGCAGCCCTGTGAAGGCAGCTCAGATCTACAATTGCTTATCCAAAAATCTTGGAACCAGATATGATTCATAATTCAGAACTTTTGAGGTTAGAAAAGTAATATGCACTGTATTCATATTATATAACATCCCCAGTGGAGATTGGGACATCATCTTATAACCAAATATGGCAATGTTTTTATAGCAGAATAACTGATCTCTTGTTAGTTCAGGTCAGATTTTGCTGCCAAATGAGTCTGCACCAAGTTTAGGGAAACATTTGCAGCTTTCAGCATTTTAGAATTACAGATAAGGGATCATGGATCAGGACAAGCATTATCCCCACCTCACAGCTGAGGAATCTGAGGCCTCTGGAGGCTAAGGTCACATGGACAGACTGGAAGTTGGGTCTGCTCCACTGCATGGCTGTGCCTGTGACACTGACCACTGGAGGGTTGGGGGAGGGGGTGGGGCTCAGAAATACACTTACTTGATGATATCTTGTTAATAAGATGTAGAGACCCAGATTGTGGGGTCACAAGTTCCCGGACATCAGCTGTCACTGTAGAGTTCTGGACATTTCCTATGAGCAGGGAGAAGCACCTCTAATATTTGGAATTTCTAGGGGGCCAGAATACAGGCTGGGCTGGGGCTCAGGCCTAGGCCAGAGGAGCTGGGCCTGCCTGTCCTCCATTCCCCCTCCCCCCATCCTACCCGGCTTACCTCTGCAGGCAGGCAGGCTGCAGGCCTGGATGGTGTCTGGCTTGTCCCCCTCACACTGCCCGAGACTGTTGGCATTAGGCCGGCACACCACCTGCCGCTGCTGGATGCCCTCTCCACAGGTGGCAGAGCACTGCCATGAGCCAGCCAGGTCCAGGCCAGGCCACAGTGGCCAGGGAGGAGCAGGTGGAGAGACAGAGGAAGGAGGTGGTGAGCTCCAATCCAGCCAATGCCCAGGACAGAAAGAGTACAGAGAAAGGTGGGAAGTCCCCACCTGACCAGAGGGATGAGCAAGGACTGCTTCTAAATAGCTTCACCAGGACAGCACAGCAGTTGCCAAATATTCCTGTCCTGGGTGGTAGACAGCCACTGAGCTCAGAACCCCATGAAGCCTTCCACCATTGAGATGGTGAACCCTGGCTCAGGACCCCATTCTGGCAACACTCCCTGTATCTACTGTCTAGTCTGTGCCTGGGTCCTTAAATATTTTGTGTATCACCCTGACAAACTCCCCTGTTTGATCCACTAGCCCTTGGGGACCTGGGACAGGTCTATCTACTTGATGACATCTTGGTAACAGGATGAAGGAACCTGGACGGTGGCATCTGCTAAACAGACAGCTGGGTAACAGGGTTGCCACAGAACCTCCTAGCTCTGACATTCAATGACTCTGTGGTTCGAATGACCAAAACTCAACTTGCAGAGGCTTGTTCAAAAGTGTCTTCTTCCCCAAGGTAAAAGGCATGGGTACAAAAAGCAGAAAGCGACAACCACATGCAAGGGCTGCCACACACAGCATCCCCAAACCTTACACACGTCTTCCCCTGACAAATGGCTGGTGGTGGCTGAGGCCCCCTGGAGAAGCAACACTACCCAATGCGGCCGGATCGCTAGGTTTTAGGCACTGAGTCAGCCTCTCCTAGTGGGATGGGGAAGAACTTGTAGAGGTCCACTTCTCATACTGGGCATGGGACAACCCGAGAGAGACATCACGAGGGTCACAGGCCACACAGAACCATGGGATTAAGATGGTGCATCCTCCTGGGGTAAATACTTACAAGCAACTGCCCTCAGGCGCCTGTCAGTCTTACAAGGGGCAACTACCTCCCACCACCTGCCACTTCTCTGTTAGGTTTATCTATGGGGTCTTTTTTGGGACCAGCCATCTTGGTGTTTTATATTAAAACAGACAAATCTACAAATAGACAAATATTAAAATAGACAAATATTATGGAGATGAACATAAAATCTTCATGAGTTGTCTGTGGAATTTTGGTTATTTCAAAATACTCTTTATTCTGCAATATTTTAAGCAGGAAAATATGAAGAAGTTGGTCGTGAAAACCTGTTCTAATACCACCAGTAACTGTAACACACCAGCGTTCTGACATATCTGCAAATAGTGCGTTGTGCCTTTTAAAACTCTAAGTTGGAAGTGCTTTTTCTCACCTAAATTTATTTTTCTGAGGTTTATGTTGATATGTATAGTTCAAGCTTATTTGTTTTTCTTGCTATACGGTACTATATTATATGAACAGACCATGATTTCCCCCCCAATCTCCTATACATAAACATTTAGGACATTTCCTAATTTTTTGCTATTACAATAAGCATCATCGTGCTTATCTCCTTGATTAAATGAGATTTTTAAATTGTGGTCCAATATACATCACATAAAATTTACCATTTTAACTATTTTTAAGTGTACAATTCTGCGGCATTAAGCACATTCACATTGTGGTGCAATCCTCACACTGTCCATCTCAGGGACTCTCATCTTTCCAAACTGACACTCTATCCCTGTTGACCACTAACTCCTTAGCCCTCCCTCCCCACGCTGGGCACCACCATTCTACCTTCTGTCTTTATGAATCCGTCTATTCTAGGCGCCTCATATAAGTGGGATCATACAGTATTTGTCATTTGGTGGCTGGTTTATTTCACTTAGCATAATGTCTTCAAGGTTCATGACAAATGAATTTTTAAGAGAAAACCCAAGACATCAAAAAAAGATCCTATGGCCACGTCCAGGGCCTGGCCACGAGCACCTGGACTCCTCTACAACCTTCTTACTGTTTCCCTTTTCTACCCTGCCTCCCAACAATTAACTTTCTGTTGAGTTACCAGAGTGAGCCTTAAAAACCTGAAATCAGAGCTTGTAACACCCATGTGGAAGCTCTTCAGCAGTTTCCCACGGCTCTGAGAATGCGTCCTAACTCTCCATAAAGCCCTGACCACCTTTCCAATGTCCTCCTGCAGGCCCCGCCCCTTTCATTAAGCTCCAGTCCCAATGTCCTTTCAGTTTCTGGAATGTGGCAGGGTTGTTTCTGCCATAGGGGCTTCCTGCAGCTTATCATCTCTCAGGTCTCAGCTCAAAGATCACCTCCTCAGAGAGGCCCTCCCAGATACATTAATCCATTCACTTCCTGCACAGCACTGCAAATGCTTTTGTTATGGGTTCGCTTGTCCCTATGTCTCCTTCACTGGACCATAAGCTTTATAAGCACAAGAATCAGATGTCTGGCTAATGCTGGATTCCTGCACTCCTAGTTCAGTGGGCCTGGCATGTAACTGGCACTTAGTAAATATTTCTTCAGTTTGCTCATCTGTAGCATGGGGATATCAGCCGGCGTCTCCTGGTGCTGCATGAAGGTCAAGGCAAATAGTGAATGAATGTGAAGGCCTAGTCCAGAGCCATGGGAGCTGTTCCATTTCGTTTTGAGAAAAACCAAAACAGATAAGGGGAGGAAACAGTCAGCCAGAAACTCTGCCTGTGGTGAGCACCAGATCGCAGTAGTTCCCCCATCCAGACCTACCTCCTCCCTGACTCCCCAGAGAAGGTGCCCATTGGCCTAGCCACTCCCAGCCTCTGAGGACAACTTACCTGGGACCAGGCTCCCGTCCGCCACTGGGCTGGGCAAGGCACTCGGAGGCAGGGCCGCCGGGCCTCGGGCCGGTCCCCAGGACAGGCTTTGGCTGGCATGGCCTTGTGGGTACCATTCGAGAGGGGCAGCAGACACTGCACTCCCCGAGTCTGCACCCCTAGCTTCCCACAGCTCTGGCTGCAGGTGCTCCATTCCTCCATCACCCACCTGAGGACAGACACAGAAGAAGGTGGAGGGGTGGTGGGACCATGGGGACATTTCCTCCCAGGGTTGTTTCCACCCACTGAACTACTGCAAGCAGAAGCCAGAGAGTGGGTTTGGGCTTCAGAATGCTTGGGGGCCAGGACAACTGTCCATCCGGCTCTGCAGCTGCCAGGCCATGTGGCCTCAAGAAAGTCACTTAATCTCTCATCTGAAAAATGGGTATAAGGCATATCAAAATCCAGGCATCCTGCAAATCCTTGGGCAAGTTTTTAACCCGTCCAAGCCTCAGTTACCCCATCTTTACATCAGGAGCCTTTCAGCACCTCGTAAATATTTACTAGAGTGTCTACTAGGCGAAGGTACTGTCCCAGGTGCTGAGGTATGGCCAAGCACAAAAGAGATGAGTCACAGCTTGTACAATAGAAGCCCCTCCCATGAGGCTCTTGGAACAATAAAAGGACTTGATATACGTAAAGCTCTTGGCAGGGCATATGGCATACAGTAGGGATGTAATAAATGCAGGCACTATTACTATCACCATCATCGCCTGCAGAGCTTTGGCACTGATCAGATAAGCTGGTGGTAAACCAGGGCTCTGTCAGCCAACCCCTTCCTTTAAAAACCAAAAAGCCCCAGGACGTCAATAGGCAATTTTACAGACAAGCCGGGTGGTGACCTGTTAGCCTTACATGCTCTCTGATCATAGACATTTGTGGGGAAAGTGGTTGAGGTGCTGGGCGTCACAGCCTGGCCTGAGCACAGGGAGGCCGTGGCGGGCTCTAGTGCTGGTGACCAGCTCCAGCCCTGGCCCTGGAGCTCCCCTAGTCTGAGGAAGCAGGAGCTGCTGTGAATCAGCGAGGCCAGTTGGCACCTGCCCCCCACCCTGGGAGGACTCCTGGGAAGGCAGGAGATTGGATTTGACTCTCTGAGGTTTCCTACCAGCCAGCTACCCTCAGCCCTGCCTGGGGGTTAAGGAAGCGCTGGGTTGGCTCTGCAACAGATTCAGAGGCCTGACCTTGAATCCTCCACAAGTCACAGCTTTTCTCCTCCCCATAGCTCTCTCCAAATAACCTGAAGAACATGACTCTGTGCTCAAAAGAGTCTGTATCCTCAGGCTGGGGAACCCCAATTGGGCTAGACCATGGCTAGGGCTAGAAGGCCAGGCTGAGTCCATGGCCCAGACGATCAAGCTGAGAAGAGCTGGTGGACAGGACCCTGGCCTGGGGCTTGGAGCCTGGGAGTACTGCGTCACCTCCATGGACCTCCCAGATCATTGAGGGAAAGCTATGCCCCCAAACTGGGCCTCAGTTTCCCCATCTGTAAAAAATGCCGGGAGTGACAGTACAAAGGAATCATCTTCCTTCTGGAAGTGGAAGTTAATCCAGAAACCCAGAGGGGACAGATGGAGAGGGGGGCAGCGCTGGCCGTGGGCAGAGCCTGGGCTGGGCTGCTCTGTTCAGGGAGCCCTGCCTGCAGGGGCCGAGTGTCCAGGCTGCAGGGCTGGAGGAAGCAGGCTCTGCAGCCCCTGCTCCAAGGCCAGGGCCGAGAGGTCTGCAATACCTCAGGTGTGGGATCAGGCGCCTCGTCCCTCCCAGGGTCACTCACTCAGGCTGGGGACACTGGTGCTGGTTGCAGCGCCTGCGGATGGGCTTGGGCCTCTTCTTGTGGTCGCACAGGTGCCGCTGGACCATGTGGTGGTCTCGTCGGCGCCGACAGCCGTATTTGGTGAACTGGATACCTGCGGGGAGGGCAGGCTGCCAAGGGACTGGTCCTGCCAGGCCCCCACTGCCTTGCCTGGGGCCTCGGGGACAGTGAGCTCTGGAGAGCCTGGAGGGCAATCCCACCTCCCTCTGTGCCTTTGCACTCCCTCTTGCCCATGTCCCTTTCTAAGGAAGCCTTCCTTATCAGCCTATCTCTCTGTCCCAGGTATGATGTGGATGGGGAGTCCACTCGGACGGCTGCCCCTCTGCACAGAGGCCCTGCCTTGGATACTGCTCTAGCACCCCAGCCCCATCCCAGAGACCCTACCCAGACAGGCTTCCACACCCTGGAGATCTTCAAGGAGAAACTGAGTCATGAACTGGGGACACGTCAGGTGGAGACAATGTCAGCCTTCTGGCGCTGGGCTGCCCCACAAGGCAGCTGGAAGGTTGGGGCAGCTGGGCCCAAGGGGACCAGTACCTCCTCCGCAGGCCTTGGTGCAAGGGGCCCAGCTCTTGAGCGCCCACTCGTAGGTGTCCTTCTCCAGGAGAACGCTGTTGCTCCCGATAAGGGGCAGCAGGTCCTCGTGGATGACATACTTGTAGGCCAGGCTGCTGCGGGGGCCACCCTCAGCTGGGGGGAGTACCTGAGGGGAGGTGGGAGAGATGGCACAGGACTGGAGAGCAGAGAAGCAAAGCCAGCATGTGGGGAGGTGTCAAAGGGAAGACTGTGAGGTGGGAATCAGAACTGGTGAAAGACAGGAGGAGACCACCGAGTGTGGCCTGGGGAGGCCAACCAGACCAGCAGCTATGCAGCAAACTCAGGCTAAGCACCTACTGTGTGCCAGGCCCGAGCACAGCCTGTGTCTTTCCCCTCCCACAATGTCTGTCAGTCTGTCCTGCTCACCAGAGCACCCACAGTGCCCGGCTCTGGTAGATAGTCAATAAATATAGACTGGATACTAGACTTTACCAGATATATGACCACAAATATTTTCTCCTGTTCTATAGGCTGTCTTTTCACTTTCTTGATAATGTCCTTTGATGTATAAAAGTTTTTAATTTCCATGAAAACCAATTTATCTATTTTTTCTTTTGTTGCTCACGCTCTCAGTATCACCCCTAAGAATCCAACCGCATGAGATGTATCCATTCTCTATTAGAGTTCTATGGTTTGAGGTATTGCATTTAGGTCTTTAACCTATTTTGAGCTAATTTTTGTACATGATGTCAGGTAGGTGTCCAACTTCATTCTTTTTCCTGTGGGTATCCAGTTGTTTCGGCACCATTAGTTAAGAGATTATCCTTTCCCCATTGAATGGTCCTGGTACCTTTGTTGAAAATCAATTGGCCATAGACATATAGGTGATCAATAAATATAGGGTGAATAGAAAATACGTGTTGGATTAAATTAATATGCTGACATCAGTAAGTAGGCCTTCAACCTTGCCCTCCAGAACCTCCCTGACTAGTGAGGGTAGCACCAGGAACAAAGCCTGCCCAATATCCCTTGCAACCAGCCGAAGCCAACGGCACTGTGGACAGAGCCCCTCCTGGTCTCCTGGGTTAACAATCCCTGCTCCTTAAGCTCTGGCCTATGGTCTAGGAAGAAGGGCTGGACTGAGAGGCCCCAGCCAGGACAGTGGCCCTGTTTCCTCCTCAGGAAGCCCGCAGTGCCAGACAGCACCCCAGGGTCAGTTGCCAACTCGTTGGCAATGCCAGAATGCATGCTGACGCTGGATGATGCCAGTGCAACACAGGAACAAACCCAGGTCCCTCCCACTCCTTCCAGGCTCCATTTCTGACCCTACATTAAGGAGAACAAACTCCCTGTGTGTGGCGGCGTCTCTGGTCTGACAGTGAGACAACTGTTTCTTTTTCCCTCCTCTCTTGCCATTCTGCCAGCCTTTAAGCACAAATGAGGAGCTGGCCTGGGATGGAGGCACCTTGGCCTTGCTCAGGCTCCTGAAGAGGTGGAGCAGGAGGATTTCCACCAGGCCTGGGCTGGCTCAGCAGCAGCGACAGTGAGCTAGGAGGACAGGGCTGGGGCAGCAGGCGGGTGAGCAGGGCCCCAGTGTGGGGCGGGGCTCACCAGGACCGCGATGGCTTCAGGCAGGGGCCCGCTAGTCTTGAGGCTTTCCTTGGCATCCTCCACTGCATACTCCCACTCCAGGCCCATTGCGGTGAAGGTCTTGCTAGTGGCTTCCTTGCCCTTGGGGTTGAAGATGAAGCTGCCTGTGACCTGGTTCTTCACCGCTGGCCAGGGAAAGAGGGACAAGAGATTTCTGTTCCCCTCCACAGGAGCACAAGCCAGACCTCACCAGGGGCTTCGACCTTGTCAGCGTGCCCCTCAAGGCTCCCTGTCAACCTGTTACTCCTTCCCGCCAGAGCCTCTCCCCAGTCAAACAAGTCACCACAGGGCCCCCACAGTGTCCCTGCCTCAGGACACTGATGCATACCATTCCTTCCACCCCCACTGTCTTCCCTTCCTCCTGCCTAATCTCCACCCACATTTCAGACCAGCACAGTTTCCCCCTCCTCCAGGAAGCCCTCTTTGACTGCCCAGTCCTCAGGGATTTACCCTCCCTAGAACTTCTATAACAGCACAGAGGTTAAGAATACAGGTTCTGAAGTCAGATCAATCGTGGGGAAGTTCCTTAGCCTCCCTGTGCTGCCTCAGTTTCACTATTTGTAAAATGGGAATGATAGCTGTACCAAGCTCACAAAGCTGCTGCCCCATGAGGAAAATCACAGTACCCTACCCCCACCCACACTCCATGGGGTCCTTGGGACAATTAAAAGAGTCTGTATATGTAAAGAACTAGGCAGAGAGCATGGCATGCAGTAGGCAGATAATAAACAGTAGGCACTACTGTAAAATCATCAGAAAAGTGCCTTTTAGCACCTTTGTGATTATATTGTCTGGTGTCTCCTGCAGCCTGTCAGCTCACCTCCTCTTTCTTGGTGTCCTTGGTCAGGCACATAGCCTGGCATGGAGTGGGAGTTTTTAAAATATCTGTAAATTTCTACCCCTTAAAGTCCCAGTCAGTGAGTAATTCACAACTTGTTACTAAAAGGTGCTGGGTGGGAGGTGTGTAGGTGCAGACGCCCCTGCAGAGTCCTGAGTTGCAGCCTCGGCTGCCCTGGAATCAGCAGGGGTGGGGAAGGGCTACAGCCTGGGCCTGTGCCCCTCAGCCAGGTGCGGTCAGCAAAGGCTGCAGAGCCCTGGGGTGGCCCCTCCTCATGCAGATTCAAACCGTCCAGAGAAACTTTACCAGAAGAGCTAACATCGTAGAACACCAACCACCTGCTGGCCGCTCTGCTAACTGCCTCAGTGCAATCCTCGCACACAACCTGAAGCCGGTGCTATTATTAATCCAGATGGGGAATCAGAGGCTCTGAGGGGCAGTGGGCTGCTGGCCCAGTTCCCTGGAGGACCAGCCTCCCTGCTGAGCAGGAGGAGACAGATGCCCCCTCATCTCTGATATCTCTCAGCCTTCAGAGTGGCCAGAATGTCTATGCTAGAGCAGGGCAGCTCCCCAGGCTGGGCCCTTGTCTGCTCCCACACCTCACACCGCCCCCACCCCTACTGTACAATGCTTGTTCCAAGGGGGGTGGGCTGGACTCAGCATGGACTCTACCATCGAGGCTTAGCTCCGAGTCCTGGCCCTCCCACTGACCCCTCTGTACCCTGGGCAACTATCTTAACCTCCCAGCACCTCTTCGCCCAACCACAGAATGGGATATAACAAGAGCCTTCACGGATTGTCTTGAGGCTTAGACAAGATATGTATGAAAAGTACCAGCTCAAGGCGCAGCATGTGTAGACATTATAACAGCGTGACTTCTCTTCATTTTAAAGAGTCCAAGTCCCCAGATTCCAGGAGGCTAATGAGTTTGGACAGGGCCTTCACCTTCATTGCCAAGGCCGCCACCTGTCCCACGCTTCCCCAGAGAGCACATACCCTGTCAGGCATACACAGGGCACATGTGCACACACGCACACACACACACACACACACACTCTACACATTTGTGCTGAGGGCCCGCCGTGTACCTCACACATGTATAATTACATAAACTGTGCCAATGCTGAGCTCCATCCCCTCCCTGTNTGTACCTCACACATGTATAATTACATAAACTGTGCCAATGCTGAGCTCCATCCCCTCCCTGTCCTGGCTCCAGCAGATCTCCAGACCTCAGGGAACTCAGCCGGGAAACACCCGGGAATGAGCACGCACAGAGCCTGCCCAGAGCGAGGAGCCTCTGCCCCACCTCTGCAGGAGCTACCCGATCACTCCCTACCTACAAGGCATCCAGACGCTAGACTCCTGGAGACGGGGGTAGAAGGAGCTGGCCGAGGACGCCCGAGGAGCTACTAACGTTATGGAATCATTTGTAGGGGCGCAGCAGCAGCCTGTGAGCTCCATCCTGTTTCTGGAGTAAATGACCCTTCTCTCCTTGCCCCCCCTCTTCCCTTCGCCTTGTTCCAGCAGGATTCCCCAGGCAAGTGGGCAGGGAGTTGGCTGAGCCAGAGCCCTCCAAACCTGCACTCCCTGTGCAGTGATGTGGCTGCCAAGTGCATGGGGCAGGAGACAGGAGACCCAGGCCCAGACTGGCTCACGCTGTAGGTGCATCAGGGCACACAGAGGGCACACAATCCACTTTGGACCTCAGTCTCCCCTTGGGCCTATTGCCTGTTTGGATCATCCCTCTAGGTGCCTTCCAGATCAATTACAGTTATGCTAATGTGGGTGTATTTTCCAGGGGAGACAAGTTCCCAGGAGACTTTTTAAAAAGTTTGCATAACTTTGATGATAATCTAAAAATATAAATGTCAGCATTTTTGTGATACATGAACCTGCCAAGAGATGTTATGTTTCATGTTTGCGTTTATGACAAGTTGGGGCCAAGCAGTGTGACTTATGTAAGAGGTGCCTAGGTGACAGTGTAGCCATGTGCCCTCTGTAAGGGGTTGAACACAGACAAGTATGAGAGAGCCATGCGCTGCCCCAAGTGTAGGCGACAGCCTGCTGCCCACCTCCCTGCCAGGACCTCGCTCTCCACCATGTTCATGTTTTTTAAATTCAGATATAACTCACATACCACACAAACCAGCCTTTTAAGTGTGCAATTCGGGTGATTTTTAGTATATTTACAAGGTTGTGCAATCTAATTCCAGAACATTTCCATTATCCCAAAAGAAATCTGAGACCCATTAGCAGTCACTCCCCATCCCCCCT